TCAATATCCCGAGGGCTAGAACACTGCAGTCTATACGACTGGCGTTATTTCACACTTGATTAATACTTGATAGCCTGCATACTACTGTCAATATCCCGAGGGCTAGAACACTGCAGTCTATACGACTGGCGTTATTTCACACTTGATTAATACTTGATAGCCTGCATACTACTGTCAATATCCCGAGGGCTAGAACACTGCAGTCTATACGACTGGTGTAATTTCGCACTAGATTAGTACTTGATAGCCTGTATAATACTGTCAGTATCTCAAAGGCTAGAACACTACAATCTATACGACTGGTGTTATGTCACACTAAATTAATACTAGTTTGTTATGGATTGTGCGCAAAGCTACACGAGGGCTATCTGCGATAGCCGTCCCTAATTTAGCAGTGTATGACTAGAGGGAAGGCAGCTAGTCATCACCACCCACCGCCAACTCTTTTACCAACGAATAGTGGGATTGACCGTCACATTATAACGCCCCCACGGCTGAAAGGGTGAGCATGTTTGGTGTCACGAGGATTCGAATTCGCGACCCGCAGATTGCGAATCGAGCGCCCTAACCACCTGGCCATGCCGGGCCAGATTAATACTTGATAGCCTGTATAATACTGTCAATATTCCGAGGGCTAGAATACTACAGTCTATACGATTGGTGTTATTTCACACCAGATTAATACTTGATAGCCTGTATAATACTGTCAATATCCCGAGGGCTAGAATACTACAGTCTATACGATTGGTGTTATTTCATACCAGATTAATACTTGATAGCCTGTATAATACTGTGAATATCCCGAGGGCTAGAAACATTCTATAGTCTACTCTCTTCTGTAGCTGGTTTTGTGAGTTACTGAAACATTTATCACGAGATAATATTCATGTCCATGATTTACAGTAATACTTTATTGTACAACAGTTAACATTTTATTAGAATTGGAGGCAACTTACCAGATAACTAATCTATAGTACACACAATAAAGTAGGTTATAAAATGTATTATCCGAATATTTCTGATCACTGGTGAGAGTTGACCATAATATTTTTTTTTCATATTGGCACTAATTATGTTGGTAATTACATTTTATACTTACCAACGTTTCAGTAACTAACTTCTAACTTCATTCGTTTATCAGTTGTATTTTTTAGTCGCA